GCATCGCTGAGCACCGCCGAGAATGCGAGGGCTCAGCGGAGGTAGGGCTTTGGGGGGAGCCCAACAGTACCTCCTCCACCTTCACTTGATGGTACCATTACAGGGCATGTTTCCCAGTATATGTTTACCTCACCTCTGCTCCAGCCACAGGCATGAGCAATTTCAAAAAAATCAACTGACCACATTCCACGAACGTATGCAGAGTTACATAGAGAATACACACCTCCTGCCTACCTACTTACATACATATACATGCATGCATACCTACATACATTGACACACACACACACGCATAGAGACAGACAGACAGACACCAGCCCAGCCTGCCTGCCTGCCAGCCAGCCAGCCAGACAGACACAGACACGGACAGACGGACAGACGTATATGCATACATATATATATATATATAGAAAAAACACATATGCATATATATATATATACATATACATATGCATGCAGGCATGCATACGATATGGAAACAAGGCCAGGTTTCGAGCCCAGGTGCCTTAGCCCTCACCCCTGCAGGGACGGAAACCCGGAGGCAAGAGAAACCCGGAGCCCGAGACACAAAACAAACTCTAAACAGCACCCGTTTAACAACAGCCATGTGCATTCAAACCGAACCACAACAGCACCGTTCCAAGATGGACCCAGGAAGACAGCAGCTCCCCATCTTCCCTATCAAGCTCTAAAGCTCTAAACTATGACAAAAGCCAGAAAGGGAACAACAACTCTAGACTCTAGCCTTGTGTTCCCAGTGTACCCTAAACGCTCAATTTCAGGTTTGGCACCGTCTTTTTTTGTTGGCTCTCTTCTTGCTGGCTGCAGGGCTCCAAAGGTTTCCTCTTGTAAGCCGGTAGCAGCTTAGACCCTCATTCCCCAAACGCAGCTAGAAGAGAAGCTCATTCAGCCCTCAATTAAAGCCTCTATTAGCTCCTAAACCATGTAGCCCTTGAGTCCATAATCCTGAAACACTTCGGGTTTATAGGGCTTAGGGTTCCTAAAACCCAAACCCTAAAAAACCCTAGCAAGTCCCGAAAGGCTCCGCCGGAGCGTGGTTGGCTTTGCGAGACCTGTGGGCAGAGGCTTCCAGCGAGTGCCTCGGAGCCTTGGCAAAGAACGCAGTCTTTTTTTTGGGAAGGACACCCATATGGGAGTTTCCGAAAACAAGGGGTAACTTATATTGGGATCCTTCCTACTATTTAGGGTACTATATTAGGGTCCCCTATTTTCGGAAACCCCCTTTTGTAATGGAAATGACGAGAGCAGTGGGGTCTAGGTTTTAGGCCTAAAGGTTTATTTCAAGGGCAATGCATAAGACCCTAGCATGGTTGCATGGTGCAGTTTTATACATCCCTCAAAAGCACTATCGCGAAAAATGGATTTCCGGTTTTCACGATGTTTCGTCCCAGGCTTTGGATATTCTTCGCCATCGAAGAAGTCATGGATTGTAATGCAGGCGAAGAAAAAGCTGCAGTTTTGGCACGTCAGACATCAGCTCTCTCGATGGTGACGGTTTAGGATGTTCAAGGCTCAGGGTGATATTGATACGACCTTCCGATGCTTGAACTCTTGAAGGGCCGTGGGTATTGCGGCTAAACTTATGGCTCGAGGGCCTTATTGGTGCCGCCTTCACTGTATCTAAGGATCCCACGCTGTAGGATCTGTACATTGTGGGGGCCGCTTAGTTTCTGAAACTCTTGCCTCGACCGCAGCTTGAGTTTCACAGACTTTGCTCTCTGCAGCTTTGGCTCTGTATGCGTAGTACCCCCGTAGCCAAAGCGGTGTTGGCAGAGATGACCTCTTTGTATCAGACCTTGAATTTCCTGGTGCTGCTATGCGCAGCAGCTGCAGCTGGTGGCCTTGGTCAGTGGAACTTGCAGACGTCGGCATCGGACCTGACAGACCAAGTGTCAGCTGTGGGAGTTTCTCCAGTACCAGCGAACTTGTCGGCCACTCGGCCGAAGCGTAAACTTAATGTTCGAGAACGTCGGAATTTGGCAAGCCAAAGTCCCTGATGCTTACGAAGCTGTATCCGCTTCCGTAGTGTGTATTTAGTTCTCGTTGGATTTGTTGCTTGGAGTAACAAGAGATTAGGGCTTGAAGGTCTGCCCTAAACAAACGAACTACTGTAGGGACAACTAGCAGAGGCCTGACTCTTTTCTGTATTGGATGTTCGGCGCTTGCCAATGGTGTTGCCGTGTTCTTTGTGACTAAGCCACCCGTATGGCAACGGAAGCATCTGATTCGTTCTTTCTGCTTCCAAGGAGGTCAGGTTCAGCTGCGGGCTGTCGCAGCTACAGGAACCGGATGCTTGCCTCAAAGACAAGAACCAGTGCCGCAGCGGGACCCAGTGTTTCGTCAAGAACAACTTTGACGAAGCAACTGTCCACGCCGTCTGCTGCTGCGATCGCGAAACTACCCCGATCACAGAGATGATTGGCGACCACTGGACATGGGGCGCATACTGGTAATTATTGCTTTACACCTCTTGGAACATGTAAGCTCAAAACTTCCAATGATGCAACACTAGCATTGCTCTGCCATCCCAGGAGATGCTGGGCGACTAAAACGCATGTTCCGCCGTATGGCTGCGACATCAAGTGCTGCTCAAGGCTCTGCTACAGCAATATAGGGTTCTCAATGTGATGAGTGACATTCTCTCATTATACAGCTATATAGGCTATATATGTTGTTATAATAGCATCCTGGACCACCATCCGCTACAGTTAACGATTAGGGTAGTGCTGGAGTATAACAACATATATATATATATGTGTGTGTGTGTGAATATACTCCAGCATTGCCCTAATCGTTTGCGGCCTGAACGCATATCATGCCGCAACATCCATATTGCCAGAGGTTTCCTTGCCTTGCCACGCTCCTTCTGCATCAGTAAAGGCATCCGTCTGATATCTTCGCGCAGTTCAAGTGAGAATGCTGTGGCCTTCCCGAGATTGCACATGCAGTTTCTTCAACCGAAGTACGGCTTGGGGTGTTAGCATCCCCGCCGTTGATGGAGCGTTTGTATTGGACTTGCCCCAGCTTTCGAAACCCTAATGCGTTGTCCGAAATGCTGTCGCCATCTTCGTGCCGTCATGATAAGTTGTCCTCACAGAGACTCATTCTCTCTCTTTTGGTTTCTGGTTTCGCTGTTCCCACCCGATTCCTGCGATCACCGTAGGCGTGGCGTGAAGTATCACAGAGGAGTCTCAATAGTTAGAAGTTACCCTTATGTATAGGCTTCGATATATGCAAAATAACCCCAAGGCCTAAACGTGTTCTGAGTGTTCAGGACCCTGTAGTATGCCTGCTCTGGCGAGGCACAGCGGAAAGAGTGCAGTTGCATGTTTCAACAACGACCCGATCTGCTGCGAAGAGGCTTGTCTGGGCACGTTGACCGGCGTTTAGGGTTGAGAGTTTCGTGTTTAGGGTTGGTGAGCTGGAGAGTGCTGGAGAGTGGAGAGTTGTAATGCTTGACCGTCATATGCTGGGTTTCTGAATGTGTGGTTTCTCTGTGTATAGGGAGTATCCTATTCTTAGGTCCGTAAAATCTTGAGAGGCTCACAATCTCTTCGCTGTGGCGTAGTTCGGAATTTGCAGCCCTGAAGCCAACGCAGGGCACGGCATGCGGCAAAGCACTGGACGGGCAGGCTTGCTGTGCCACTCCCGTACGGAGCCTAGTTACACTCAGGGTTCAGGTCTCGAAGTCTTGAGACGACATGAACAAATTTAACTGGCAATAAGTTTAAACTCGTGCTTTGTGTCTGCAGAATTGGTGTAGTTTGGATTTGGGCACATGTCTTTGGAACCTCCTTTCCTCAAAGACCCTGTTTTGTTGAGTTTGGCCTTTTAATCCCGTCCTGCCCGAAGGAGCCCTCCTAAACCTTGAGTCCGAGTAACATGGATTCATCTTGGGAGCGTCCAGACTTCCTGCAGCATTCTCAAGGCTTGGGCCCAAACGACCCCACAGTCCCTTCACGAAGGAGGATTCCTTTTCTTCAGGGTTCTTTAAACTACAGTACGGCTTCCTCAACCAACGGAGAATGGCGCTCTATCGAATCTACAAACACCCTTAACAAAATCCTGAAGAGGAGCCCTTCTCTCCGCAAACCTTTCACTTCCTAGTGAGCCTGACAGCCTTGGGGGCTCAGGGTTATTGGGCTCTGAGGCCCTGCCATGACGTCCTTTAAGTTCGCTGTCTAATCCTCGGCCTTGCTGTTAACTTTGTGTGTGAGAGTCCTGTAATGTCCTGTGCAGAAGGAATATGGAAACTCCCTGAACAACCTGAACAGACCCCTCTCTGAGGAAGCCTTGCAACAGGGATCTTGGAACCTAAGGTTTAGGGTGGCAGCGTGCACCGTCCAAGGCGAACACCACTTGCTGCACCGAAGTGGGCACCACTTGCTGGCACCGTCCAGATGGATGCATGGTAGCAGTGGAAACAGCCACTGAGCTTGCTCCAAGGTGAGCTGCTGCTTCTGCCATGTTCTTCGCCCAGGCTTCCATCATCCTAGTTATATAACAGGGTCCTACCAACCCACATGTTCCAAAAAAATCAGAGGCTGTCACGGACGGACCCATTGATCTGTCCTCTGAGCCGAAAAGGTGCCTTTCTGACAACCCTCAACCCTAAAGCCTCTTGAGGAGCTCTTCAAATCGCTTCTCAGCTGCAAAACTTATGCGAAAGGTCCAGGTTCTATAGAGGCATCTTGAGGGATGCAGGGCTTTAAGGGTTTGGGGGTGCTTGAGGAGCTCCCACTGCCCAGAACGTGTGTCCGTTTGGGGGCTGAAGGGATGTTCGGGGTTTTGGGGTTTGGGGCGCAAAAGGGGTCAGGGAGTCAGGGAGGTTTAAGGTTTTGGGGGCTTTAGGCTTCAGATGGATTCAGGATTGTTTCGGGTTGAGGGGTTCCTGCTGCAAAGTATATTATGAGGTTCTGGGCGGCACAAGTTTGTTTCTTCTGGTAGGGTGTTGCCTCTTCCATGGTGTATGCATGCTTGTTGAGCGAACTTGAACCACAGCAAGCAGTTCAAGAGGATAGTTAAGGGCGCAGTCAGCAATCGGGGGTTGTTCAAAACGAGAAAACCCTGAACCTTGGACCCTACACCCTTTGAGCCGCACACCCTGGTTCAGACAAAAAAGCTCCTCAGAGTTAGATCCCAAATCCCGGCGCTATCCACCTCCTCAGGATCCGTTTGGGGCTGGTCAGCAGTGTTGCCTTCGAGGCAACATAGATGATTATTGTGTGCCCGACGCAGACTGCAAGTCCTCCATAACCGTGTTTGGGCTGGCAACTGGTGCGTTCTTTCTGAGCCTTGGGCATTGTGGTCGGAAGGCCTTTATGTATTTTGATCTGACAGACTCCAAATTCCGCGCATCATATGCTTTTGACATCTAGTGCCATTCAACTCGCGATCGCGTGAGAACTTTTCAATTCGACGGGCTCCTCGAACTCCAAAGGAGTCCTTGTACTAAGGGCAACCCTGATCGTCTACAGCTGGTTGATGGGAGAGCTCAGCAAAGAAGAGTTCAGTCAATGCAGACCGGCATTTCTCCTCGTTCTCAAGGCCGCCACCTTCATTCACATTCGTTCGGGGGTTTCCGAAAACAGGGGACCCTAATATAGCACCCTAAATAGTAGGATCCCCATTATAAGGACCCCAAAATAAGATACCCTAATCTTGGGAAAGTAGGTCTAGGACCCGGGATATAAGGTCAGGGGCTTTTGGGGTCGTGCAGCTCGGGTCATGTACTGTGAGCTCTTGACACGAAGGTCCAAGCAATAAATAAGAAATTAAATGAAAAACAAATACATAATAACATAAATAAGTATTTACATATATATATATACATACAGTGATATAGTGAGAAGGTCGAAAAGTTATGAGTTACGAGCACATCTTGAAAGATGCTTACATACGGAGTTGTGAATTTGTGCTTGCCTCGAGGTCGCCGCATTGAGCCTGATCTTCGTAGTTGCTTATTGGCTGCTGCCTTTGCGACTTCTGGGAAATCCGGTCCGAAAAGAGCCTCAGCTGTTCGGCATCCTCCTCACTGCTCTTCTGATTGGTGTTGTCCTTGGCCCAGGCCCGAGGTCTAACACGGCCTTTCACTCTCATAAGGCAGGAGAGCAGGTTGCTATGTTGAGTCTTGAGTGTGTGAGCCCACCTTTGAGTCGGCATCGTCTGACATACTCCACCGACGACAGTTCAGAATAGTATCCCAGACAAGGTTCGCTGAAGTTGCATCGATGGTGTAAGACGCGATCGACAGCCCGGATAAACTCGGCGCAGCATTGTGGTCCTTCGCCCGCCAGCGGGGAACGCCCTCGAGTGGCTATACTTATCAACAACCAGGACTTGCTTTCACGCAGCCTACCCGGTTGATTTGGCCCACAATCACTCAAAACATATTTATTCCAAACCACACACAGACCCTGAAGCGCGGTGCTTCAAGGATATCGTGGACGGTGTCTCAATGCTATTGGAATCTGAGAGGGCCCAGCAAGACTCCGAGGTTATGCGTTGATCCCGAATCCTGTCTTTTGAAACATCCGGGCCGAAAGGGGCCCAGGCCAATAGGGCGTTGGTGGCCGGGCTACAGCTTGATAGTGTGTTCTGAATACCTCCTATACCTAGGATCCGAGAACTTGTAAACAGAAGCCGGGGATCAAACTTCGTATTCTTGAAGCCCATGGACAGGTAGGGGTAGTTTCCGAGGAATCTCAGCATGTGAGCCGGTGAGGACTATACAAAGATGGAGAAAGTCTTTGACAAAAGCATGGGCGAACTCAGCAAGAAGCTGGCGGCAAACAACTGGGAGGCGCCTTCGGTTTGAGCTATCGCGAACCCCGCACTCAGTTCCATCAAAATGAAATAGCACGAGGGGTTTGGACTTGATATCATTATTATTTTTTAGTTGCCCGGCGAGTCCGCAACATGAACCCCCATCCAACTTCCAACGACGACTGCGATAAGCAGTTTAGCGTGCATGACCTTGTAAATTTTTTGCTGTTACAAGTATTCAAGTATTGCTCACCACTGCCCGAGGTAGTGTACTTCGATGACCTCAGGGCCGCATCCGTGGTGAACGTGATCGTGCAGCAGGTGTGCCAGGGCTGCGGGCGTACTGGGAAAGAGAGCCCGATGTGTAACGCCAATGGTCTGATCCTTGCTATAGCGACCGCTAACCGTTTAAGGCAGCCCACAACTAGCAGAACAGTTCTCCGGAATCCTGCCGTGCTGCACATTAGGGAAAGGGAGACAAGTTTGATTGCACCAGGTTTGCGTGGGTTCAGGTCAAGCGTATAGTCTCGAAACTACAATCTCGGCCGTGTCTGCAAGCTCATGTTGTTTATCCTTGCGTGCCAAGGCGAAGACGAGGATTCGAGACAGACGTCAGGCCACGGTGTGGATCTACATATCGTGTCATGCACAGACCTACTTTGGCATTCCACAGTGCCTTTGCTGGCATTGGTATACAGATGTATACAGATCTGCTTGTTACCGCTACATGTATGAAGAATGAGCTGCATGATTGGTTTGCACTGAGAGTTTGTGGGTTCGCAAGATTCGACATGTAAAACCTTCATCGGCGGGTCGAAATCAGCACAGCAACTGCCACAAAGCTTAAATCTCGAAGAGCAAACTGCAGAACGTACCGGTGCCGCCCACTGTTTTCCAACGTTTTGGTGGTTACTGTAATTGTGTTGCAGGTTTCTGCCGGTGGATGCTCATGGCTGGGGCGACGGAGTGTCGGTATACTGGTTGGCCTACAAAGTCTTGGAGCAGACGAACATTGGCTCTTTGCACGTTTGGGTGAATGGTTGCCTGACCGATTGCATGGGCGAGGCCACCGGTCTACAGACATTCCGGTGGCTTGCCCGGCGGAGTGTCGAGCGTCTCGCTTTGAATCTGCGGCGGTGGTACCACCTGCTTACAGCGGACAGCTCAAGTAACGGTGACACCCAGACTGAAAGTGGCGAATCTCGAGGAGAACAAGTTCAAATCTACCGGCACAATAGCCGCCTGTTCCCTCGCTTTGAGCCAACAGTTTCCCTGTACTTCGCCTGTGTGCCCGGCCGCACTGTGCCTGGTAGCGAAGAGCAAGGAGACCATGGTCAGAGTGTCTCGGGCGTAGGTTTACGGGGTTCAGGGCTTTGGGGTTAAAACCTTAGTCAGAGCCCAGCTGCAAAAAAGGGGGTTGGGGTTTTAGGCATTTTAGGAAGTGTAGGGTTTGGTGCTGCAGCTCGTAAGACCACCATGAATTTCCATGCACCCTTTGAGGTACACATTTTTGATGCATATCATGCTGTATTGCCAAAGAATGGCTCTTTGAAAGCAAGAAACAGTGGTCTTTCAGTCGCGAGCCACTGCAAGAACGTCGAGAGCAAACGTAGCTCTTACTGCCATGTTGGTGTCCCAATGGTAGGCTCCCGGTGGTATTCTTTGGCACATTGTGTTAAGATGCAAAGGCCCATGCCCTGCCACATTCTTGTTCAAAAGAATAACATGCTTGAAGAGGTACGGCGGCAAAACCATCGAGCCAACTTCAGTACTCCACTCGCGCCTTGTTTGAGAGGAGACCTGATGACCAGGAAGGTGCTCGACCTGATGAACACGAGCCCGCATGCATCGCCAAGGGACATGTATGGTCCCCTCCATCGAAAGCTTTGGGCGGCACGACGCATGGAGGCCAGTTCTTGAGGAAACGAGTTAACAGCGTTGAGGGTCTTAGGGCTGGAGGATCATGTTTTCGGTAGGTTTCGGGCACCAAGCATCCACGACTTGCGACGAAGTGTCGCCGAAACTCAATTCTTGATTCTGGTTTGAATCTTTTGGGGGTTGGACCATAAAATTAGCTTACAAAACAAAGGAAATCCGACGGAGAGAATGCATACCACCCCCCCCCCCCNNCCCCCCCCCCCCCCCCCCCGCACACATTGATCAAGAGTGCCCGAATGCCTCCATTCCATCACACACTGAAGCCCTGTAGACACTGCACCCTCATGTATGTTCACGCTCCTGTCCTTGCTTGGCCGACTCTAACACTGTCGTTCTGAGGAGTGGCGAACTTCAACCTAAACCGTAACACTCTCGGAGATGTGTCAAACCTCCCAGGGCTAGCAGGAGGCTTTGGCCAAAGAGAGCTAGGTTGAAGTGTTATACCATTGGAGCAAAGTCCCGACACCCCCAAGCTAGATACCAAGAACTATGCACGAAAGTCAGGGTGGGCCGTTGCATCCGCTCCTTATCACGACGGAAAGTTTGAACGCCGTCGATAATGTCGACCATCGGGCGCGGTGCCTTCGGCACAGTTGAGGTGCAATGCCGGACTTTGGGGTTCTAGGGCGCAAGCCCCAAAACCCTAAAGGGTTTAGGGACTCTCCAAAGTTGTTCCTCCTCGGTGGTTTACAAATCTTTTATGCTAGCATGTACGGAAAAAGGGACTATGACCGGCACACAGTCATAGGAGCGCCACGACGACCACGACCACGACGAAGGCCAGTGAAAATCATGCAGGAGACGACCAGGACACCACGGCCAAAATTGCTTTCCCCCATCTTTCGCGGATTCAGACGCTCCCCCACCGAGCTTCTCCCATGTACTGGCGGGATTCAGGAGCAGGGCCTGAATGCTTTCGCCCATCTTTTGGCAGATTCAGAGCATGCCCACCGAGCTTCCTTCCTGCGCTAATGCTTCGTCATAGATACGGAAGGGATGCATGAGACGTCCAAAATTGGTCCAAAATGCTTCCCCTGAGTACTGCTGGTATTTATTCAGACATTTCGAAACCATAGGGAGCCCAGTTTATTGGAGTTGACAATGGATCTGGGCCATCCGGTGGACGGGGCCCGACGGATCCAGTACAAAAAGGGAGGACCTGAGCCCGCACCACAGCGTTCGACGCGTCCCGGCGAACGCTAACCAATGCTGTTCGTCGTCAGTGTGTGGTTCCTGCTGATGTGCTCAGCTGCATCATGCCGCATCCTACAGGGAGTTTGCAGTCGCTTCCGCCGTGTAGGGCAAGGCCTCGGAAACAGCGCCTTCTCTTTGCTCTTGCTACCTCTCCCTCTCTCTCTATCTCTCTCTCTCTCTCTCTCTCTCTTTGCTTTTCTGGCTTCCTTCAACTTAGAATTGGGAAGGCCCACGACATAAATGCCTGAAGCCCCACGAGGACGGCCGCTGTGGACCGTCAGGATTTATATAGCAGTATAGAGAGAGAGAGAGAGAGAGAGAGAACTAAATGTATGTGTATATATATATATGGCAGATGGGTATTTACATAATATATGTGTACATACATACATACATACATACATACATATATATATAAGAGTGCACAGAGAGATAGACGGGCACATAGATGCATGCTGTGTATGTGTGCACACGGGCAGACGACGGCGTGTCTGTGATGTTGTGTAGTGATTCTGCGCTAGACAGAGTTATGTGTACGGCCAAGACGCAGGCCTGTGCTCGGGCTCCAGATTTCCCAACTCTCTGAGGTGCTCAACCTCTGAATCTTTGACCAGCGAAGGAAGCACTATCGCGACATGGCTTTCGGATCTATAGAGTTTTAAATGGTTTAATGTGTAGAGTGGGATGGAAACTCAGTCGCACTTGGGGTTTGCAGGGCTTGTAGTGTCTTGATTCGTGATGATGCAGTTGGCGAAAATTGAAGTGTTAGGCGTAGCTTAGGAGTAAGAGCACTTAATGCCGTGCTTTTTGTTCGTCAGGGTTCGGGATTTTGTGGCGTGCCCATCGCAATACGCAGAGGCACCCGCGGCGGCCGAAGACGAAGAGCGGCCATAGCCACCGCCAGCATGTGAAGGTGTTGACTAAAATGCTGTAGTTTTTGCTGTTTTAGGCACGATAGAGTGTGCTGATCTTGAGCAGGACGACCCTCGTGATGCCATGTGGCAGTGTTGCAATTATATATGCCACTCTTCGTCGACAAGCGCTGCGTCGCGTATCGAATCGGGCGTGAGCTCGAGCCAACGATGCATGCATGAAATGAATTCGTTAGACATGGGACACCACACCCGTCATGCACATGTTTCCGGTGGCACTAGCCACAGGAGATGAGAAGCAGGTAGTTTCACAAGATTTAACTCTCTGCTCCGTGGTCAGTTTGCCACAGGGCCATGTCGTATTTCCGGCACGAGGTTTTCTCCAGCTTTAGCAGTTGAGGGTTCAAGTGACGGATTGATGCGGCCCACTTGCATCATGCTGGCATGTCGTACGTGCCATGATGCCAATCCTTTAAGTTCCCATGCACGCTAACGGCCGTGCTGGGCCCTTCGGTTCGGCTCAACGGCGCCTGCGGGCTCCTTGCACGGACTCTTGGGGGTCTCACTATAGGGTTCTAAACGTGGATTATGAGGGTTCAATACTGGTGCGATGAGGGCCCTCCATTAATTAATGTCTTTGTTTCTTAAACGCTGGAACGCTGTTACAACAGCACGCCAGCATGGACAAGGAGACGGTGGGCATGTTGCAAGATGCGGCGTCGGACCCCGGCAGGGTTTCTCCTGAGATTTTAAGGTGTAGGGTATTATTTCCCACGAGAGCCTGTGTGCAATTATAGTCATCATAGTGAATGACTGCAGATGCCCAGGTTAAGTAGACACCCTGCACCCGGAAACCCCTAAAGAACCTGCTTAAGCTAGCTGACTGGATCCCTTTGTGCCTGCAACGCAAAGGGCATCAGGCCGCTCTGTGTTCATGCTCAATACTCAAGATCAACGATCCTCGTAGAACACTCCAAGAAGGGTTCAGGGTTTAGAATTTTAGGGTTTAGGGGTTGAGGGATTCAGGGTCAGGGCAAAGTGCGCTGCAGCCCCTGCTCAAAAAAAAGGGGTTCAGGGTCTAGGGTCTTTTTAGGATGACATTGAAGGAACTGAGCTTGAAGGGATCCCTAACGGGACCCTGTAGGACACCCCTGCTTGACCCCTTTGGGCACCCTGAAAGGAGCCCCTAACAGCACCCTTCAAAGGAAGAATTGCAGGTAGCCGTTTGGCCCCCAGTTGTCTCCAGCCTGGCTACGTTGAAGCCATGCCCACGAAGACTGCCGCGTGCTGGATCGCAGCGGCCGGGCTGACGGCAGTCTCGGGCCACTGGGGATGGAGGCAATCCGATTTTGCACCAGCACCGGGCATGCAGATTGATCCTCCGCAGACGCTATCCGAGTCTCGGCGGAGAGGGAAGCACGCCTCAAGCCATGCGGGTTCACACCATGTCGTGCATCAGACGCATTCAGGCTCGCTGCTTGCTTCTCCGTTGTCATTTCCTGCTATGGTAGGGGCCTTTGATTAGAATAGGGTTTGGAACCCTGCGCTATAGTGTTGATATTTATTCCGACCCCTGTACTACCCTGGTACATTCGTCAGGCATTTTCAGCATGTGCCAGACAAAAGAGGCAGGACAGATTGTACTATATAATATTGAGTAGACATTATACTATATGTAAACGAATACAACATTACAAGCTGCGAGTATCATTGGCAGGGCCCGGAGTCATTTCGCGGAGCCTAGAAGAGTACAGGCTTCGATCTTTTGTCGAGCTTCACGACCGGATTTTGATGCTTGAAATTAGACCCTTCCTTCACATTCAACCCTGCACTGCAAACCCGAAGACACAGCAGACAGCATGCATAAATGATTTGAAATGCAGAAACAAATAAATAAATACATAAATAAGTAAGAAATGTGACCATATAGCTCGCCCCCCCCCCATGATCCACCA